GTCGAGATGCTAGGTTGTGAGACAAAGCACAGATCTGAAATATCAGCCCGCCTTCCTGCTTTTGGTGACAGCAGCGAACTCTGATTCACCATCAATTGTGCTTATGGGAAATGCATCCAATCACAGAATCCTAAAATAGTAGAGTTGGAAGGGGCCAGAGGGCCATTGGGTCCAACATCCTGCTCGGTGCAGGATGACTGTATCTTATGACTCATTTTTGCAAAATGTATTTGTGGCATTTAAAACTTATCTCTGGTGGACAAGCACATCTACACTGAGCAGGGGGTTGGATTTGAGGGCCTCATAGGACCCTTCCAACTCTGCTATTCTAGGATTTTGTGGTCTTCAATGTGCTTCTATGTGCCATGAACTTGGCTGCCTCCAATTTAAGGTGACCCTATGAATGAAAGCCTTCCCACATGTCCCATCCATGACAGCCCCACTCAGTTCTTCCAAGTTCAAGTCTGTGGCTTCCCTAATGGAGTCAGTCCATCTTATATTTGGTCCTCCATGGCTTTCAAAGGATCCCTTAAAAACCAAAGTTAAGTAGTTTAGGTCACACTGATTTCATGAGGGGAAGTGGTAAGCATGCATTTCCACAATGAAATTAATCCGATCTTAAGGGCAGAATCTTATTGATTATACCCTCAATGCTCATAAACCTCTGAACTTGCAGGTTTATGCGCATCCACTGCAGAGCAAGGCAAGTGGAAGAGACAGTCTCTGCCTCTCCACTCCTCTCACATGACAGTTCCGTTAGGTAGCCAATTCTGGCCTCAAGCTGCAGTGCTTCTAAGAAGCAGACTGAAGGACCACCAGGATACCTGAGATCCAGTGCACTGTAGCAGTTAGAGCGCAGGGCTGGGATTTCGGAGATCCACACTCTAGGGTTAGGGTTAGCCAGCCTACATCAGAGGGTTGTTGTGAGGCTAGGTTTGAGAACAGGAGGCTTATGTAAGCTGCCCTGAGCTCCTTGAAGGAAAAAAGGGGTATGAAGGATATAGATATAATAAATAAATGAAATAAAGATCTTGTATTCTGGTGGCCCCATTCTCCTCCCTGCCCACCCCTTCCCCACACTTTTCACCACCTCTCCGAGATCAATTTTCTAACCTCAGAGAAGCAGCCAGCGCAATTCTTTCCATGCCAGTTGTAGGAGCAGGGAGGGGAATCAGAGAGCAGATCCTCAGCATCAAGGTTGGAACTCTTCTTCCTACCTTGGATATGGGAATCTGAAGTAAATGGTCTTCCAAAATCAACATAATCAGGAAGTCCCATGAAGAGCCGCCTTAACCTGGTTAAGCTGAAAGTCTAGTATTGCAGTGTTTGTTTTACTGAACTTCTCAACATACTTATAAGATCAAAGAGGATGTTCACCTTCATTCATTCATCCTGGATTCAATGACCCAATTGAAAAGCAGGGTTACTTTCAAATAGATCTGACCGTTACCAGTCAGACCCTGGAGTTCAGGCTACAGCCGCCTGCCAGTTAAATACGAATTTGAAATTATATTTCTTTCCCATTTTGCTGCATATGCCACTGGGACATCAAGTCAATGTGTTCAGAAAGGAGACAGAGATCTATGTAAGCATCCATACCTGGGAAGGGGACAAGGATCAGCCCCACCCACTAGACAGGATGCATGCCCCGGTCATGCCCCTCAGCCACTAGCTCCTTGGCGTCAGTCTGGCAAGGGTCTGCAGAAGGACAGCAATCATAACCTGCCAGGCTTTCCGTCCCAACGGTGGAAGCTATTCATGCATAGGCCCTCTTCAGGTCGAAGCCTAATGCCTACAGACATGGCTGGTGTGTGCATGCGGAAGGCAGGAATCGCCTGCACATTCTTGGATACCCCATCACACATTCAGCAAAAATAGGTACAAATGCCTAAACAGAGTTTAAAATTTGAAGAGTGGTTGTATGCATGCTTAACCCCCAAACCTCCTGAAATACAAAGCAAATTTGGAAGATAGTCCTATTTCTGCACAGAAATGGTGCACACCCAATTGCTCCAGATGAACTGAGTGGTAACTGAGCCTGTTAGTAGCCAATGCTGAATTAAAATTAGCAATCTAGAGGTAAAAGATTACATTCTACTAGTGCTGATTTGCTGGGATATCCTGGCCCTACAATTTGCATTATAAAACACACATTCAGCTTAAATGCACACAATATAAGTAACAAAATAAGAGCAACTCATCAAAACTAGATAGATAATATCTATTTAGGCCCATAAACAAGCTGAAGACATTGATAATTAAAAGAGAGTACTCTCACTGAATTCCACAGACCAGCATGATAAATTCAGCTCCTTGCTTAATATTTCTAAGCCTGCTGTTGTGCAAGCATTGCAAGGAAAGTAGTACTACTTACTGAGTAAATCCACTATTAATGCTGCGAGAAGAGATGCAGAACAAAATAAGATCTGTTGTATATACTTAAACATTCAGATCTTTGAAACCCTCCTCCACTCCCAACACCATCATTCAAATGAACATAACAAGGCCTTCTTTTTTTAGAACTGATTCCACTTTACTATGGCTTTTTCCAGGGAAGCTGGTGGGTTTGCAGATAAAAAAGTCACCTACTCAAGCAGCTGCTGCTAACCTTTTTCAGTGTTAAAAACAGCCATCAGCAGATCTTATTTAAGCAACTGGCAGGCAGAAAGGATATACCACCTGTTGCATATTTTGTTAAGGCTCATAACCTACACTTTCTTCAGGATATAAGGAACAAACAGTGCTGGTAGATTACTCCAAATACTGACACATTTAAATTGGAACCATACAGACAGTAGTAAACACCTACTAGAAGATAATACACAACAAGTGGAAACATGCTGGCGCAAGACCATTTGAAGGAATATTTCTTAGGGAGATCTATAATTTGTGATGACAGAGAACAATAGCAGGATCCAAAGCAGGGATAACTGCAGAATTCAGTGTTCAGAAATTCAAAGTTTTCAGATGGATGTGAAAATGGAATTATTGATAAAATATAAAGATGCAACACAGATGGGAAATCGGAGGGGGGGTCCCCCACAAAAGCAAAACAATGTTTCATGGGAGAACATGTACAAACAGTTCTGTAAGGCAGAAAGATTTCCATGGATCTACACTGCTACTTCAGTTGCATATAGTACAGTAAGTAAGGACAGATCCAAAGGGACTTCACATGGACTATGTAAACTCTCACACACAAATTGCACAGGAACCACCTCCTTAAATAGGCACTGCATTTCACACTATGCATAGCATACACATGGCAAAGGAGAACGTTGACAGAAAGATTAAAGATGGCATCAACAAGCAACATTAGAAATGTGCTCATGTTTCTTTGGAAGGTCTGTTTCTTAAAGCCTGCAAAGCCCTTGTTTCATCTATGTTACATTATTACTATTATCATCATCATGTGCTAATGATATGCACATGATAATATTCACAATATTTTGTGAATTGAAAATGTGACACATACAGGAGCCATCCTTGGAGCAGAACAAGAGTTGTGTTGCCAGTGTTCCTCAGCACCATGTTTTGCTTTGCTTGTTTTATTATAGGGATGTGCTACTTCAGAGACTTAGTCTACAATTTAAGCTGTCCTCCTTCACCAAAACAAGGAGCAGCATGCTCACCGCCGTGGGTAAACAACCTCCAACTTCCCCTCCACACCCAACTGGCTTCTATCTACATTCCTTATCTCCTGTACCTCTTTTTTCCCTTTACATTCTGCTACAAACAGCCTGCCTTTACTATCAGCAAGAGTGAAGCTTCAGAGGAGCTCCACTGAGAAAATGCAAAAGCGTCATTTTTTGCGGTTGCATGAGTACTCTCCAAACCTCCTGCCCTTGACAGCTCTGCTCAGCTTTTGTAAACTCAAGGCTGTGGCTTCCTTTATGGAATCATTTTCAGGACACTAAAAAGTGTCTTGCTAACATTTCAGGAGCCTTTAATCATATGAGGATTTCTGAGTACAGCCATGATCAAAGAAACACAACCCATCTCAATATAGATACTGTAATTTAGAGACTACTTGTAGCTGCTGCTTTCGGCCAGAAGAAGTAGAAGTCTCTCCCTTTGCCCTTCCCCAGCCTCTTGTCCTATATATTATGTTCACCTGTCAACTGAGAACACCATGGCCCTAATGAAGTGAACCCAAGCAAGGTTTACGTCACAATAAATTTGTTAGTCTCCAATGATACCTGTTTACCTGGCAGAAAGCCCCACTGAAAGCAATGGGATTGGCTCCTGATTAAATGTATCGATCCCCCAAATGAAGTGCACTCCTGTGACTCCCCACTTTTTTAGGATTTATTCGTCCCTGAAGGAAGAAGCCTCTGCTTCCAGCACAAACTCGTGCCACTTGTTGTTACTGAGATTAAAAGAGAAAGAAAAAAAGACGCGCAATCTATCCTCAGGTTTTGTGTCTGAGATGAAATAGAGAGCATCTAGAAATCCACCTGCACTTAACACAAAGCTGTCTGCGCTCTTTGAAAGAGCGCTTAACATTTAAGGTTTAAATGCTGAGGCGTTACGATACTTCCCATGTGAGTAATAATGAGCACAAGATTCTTTTTATTTACGCCTCTATCGGGATGCGGCTTTGGGGTTGCTACACCACGTCCTGTTTCTTCTTCACCGAGAGAGCAAAACAAAACCCGCCACCAGACGAAACTGCGGCCGCACAACTCTCGAGGGCTGGAAGAAAGGCATCTCCGCCCGGCTGGAGGGTGCAAGGGTGCCGCGAGCAACGGGGCGAGAGGAAGCCCCATTCCGGCGCAGTGCGGAGCTGCTCGCCCGCACAAGCGCCACCTGCGTAGCCGCGACCGCGGAGCGCCCGGGCGAGCGCTGGAGCACGCCGCGCCGCGGGGACGCCTGCCGCTCCCCGCGCAAGTAGGTGCCCGGCCGCCGCCTCCGCCCTCTGCCTGCCTCCTGCGGGGCGGCTCAGGACGCGGCGCTCAAGGGAGAGCAAGCACCGAAACGCCCAGCTCCAGGCGACTCACCCAGAGCCCCGCTCCGCATGTTCGTTCAGGCAGGGGAAGGCGCCGGTAAGCCCGCGCGGCGGGCTGGAAAGAGGCGCTCTGGCCGCGGCCCCGCTGTTGCTTCTGCTGCCCCCTGGGAGCCGGGCGCATCCCGGCCGCCTCCCGCTTCCTCGGCTGCTGCGCGGCGGCGGCGGCGGCGGCACTACGCGAAACAGCCGGCGCGCCTCTGGCTGCCGAGACAGCGCGCTCGCCGGAGCCCCGAGCGGCGCGGCTGGGCGTGGCTGCAGGCGGCGCGCTCGCCCAATCCGCGCGCGGCAGAGGGGAGTCCTGTCAGCGCAGGCTGCACGTGGGCGCTGCGCAGGGAGCGCCGAGGCGGCTCCCGCGGCGTGGCCCGCCGTGCCCGAGGCCGGAAGGAGGGAGGGAAGGAAGGAAGAGGTCCCGGGCCGGGCTTGCGTAGGGCTCGGGCGCGGGCGCTTGCTCCCACGGGACGTTCATGGTGCGCGAGTGCAAGCGCGGCGTACGCCGGTCCCGTGGGACTTGGAGAGGCTAGGGGAGTGCGGTCCAAGCGAGGGGCGAGCTTCTCCCTGGGCTGAGCTGGGCTGCTCGGCCTTCTTTGAATGCTCCTCTACGAAGAAATGCCGTGCACCAAGGAAAGCAAACCAGCCCGCGACAGAATTCTCCTTTCTATTGCTCCTACCCACTTCACACGTCTGACCTCTTACCGGTGTCTGAGGTGGTACAGACCGGGAAACACTTTACTATTTGGAGCTATTAAATCGAATGGGGGCAGAAGGTAGATGTCCAAGTGTTTCTGGTGTCTCCAAAAAGCGGTACATGGGGAATACCGTTCAGCCCCATGGATTCTCCGAAATGGAGATCCTCAAGGGTCTGCTCTTTTCCCCACGTTGGCTAACAGTCTTTTCCCCACTCAGCTGCTGAATTGAGTGGGGCATTCGGAGTTTTGGAGTGCATGGTCATCAGATTTCTTCTTCAGCTGACGAGGCTGTGGATGTGCTAAATTGGTCCCCTGGGCTGTGATAATGGACTAGATGAGGGCTAATAAGTTTAATCCAGTCAAGACTGAGATGCTGTTGGTAGGTGGTTCCTTTGACTGGATGGCAGATGTTCAGCCTGCTCTAGATGGGGGTCATACTACCACTGAAGGAGCAGGTTCATAGCTTGAACATTCTCCTTGGTCCTTTTTCATCACTTGAGGCTCAGGTGGCTGGGAGTGCTTTCTACCTGCTTTGACTGGTGGCCCAGCTACAAGCCCATCTGGACAGAGATAGCCTGGTTTCAGTTACTGCAGCACACTCTTTGTGGGGCTGCCCTTGAAGATGGTTCAAAAGTTGCAGTTCATGCAGAGTGCAGCAAGCTGAGACCCATAAATCCAGGGCTTTTTTTTTTTGTCAAAGAATGCACCGGAATGGCGTTCCGGCACCTTTTTTTGACGGAGTTTTCCAAGTGATTGTAAATCGCCCTGTTGGGCATAGCAGGTTGGCAGCAAAAATCATTAACATAGCGCCTGCGGGCTGCTTGTGTGTCGGCGCTGATTGTCGGCGCTGATTGTGAGGGTGCTGCTCGGCTGGGGGTGCTGCTCGGCTTGGGATTGGTCGTGTGGTCGCGCGCTGAGTGCTTACTGCCGGCGGCGACCATTGTGTAAAAGTGTGACCCCAAGACGTGAGTTTCAGCACCTTTTTTTTTTTTTTTTAACAAAAAAAGCACTGCATAAATCCAAACTGACTGGTTCTGGCCTGCCTGCATTGACTGCTTGAATGCTTCCAGGCCCAATTCAGTGTGCCAGTTTTGATGTATAAAGCCCTATGCAGTTTAGGACCACAATACCCACCAGAGCACCTCTTCATCTGTGATCCACCCAGGCACTATGCTTACGCCTGAGGTCTTCTTCTGAGTGCCAAACCCATGGGAGGCTCAGAGGATGCCAACAGGGGTGGGGGGTGGCTTTTCTGTGGTAGACCCCCATCTTTGGACCAACCTTCGTGCTTCAGACCACCTGGTGCCCAGTTTGCCATCTTTTTGGAATCGGGTCAAGACAGCCCTTTATATGGAGGCCTTTAAAATCTCCTTAGTTATCCAGGGACCTGAGGGATTATCCAGGTGATTCTTCTTTGCTGTGTCTTTTTGACACTATTTGAAAGCTATTTTAAATTAATTTCAAATTCATTTCAACATTGTTTTTTTCTATGGTATTTGTATTGTATTTTTTGTTTTATACATTGTTGTAAACCACCCAGAGAGCTTTGGCTATGAGGTGGTATAGAAATGAAATGAAAAACAACAACAAAAATGGCAAAACAATCAAAGAATAGGCCTTCTAACATTAATAGAAGAAATATTTAACTGATTAACTTAACCAAAGGACTAAGGGTGCGGTCCTATACATGTTTAGCCAAAAATAAAAAGTTATACAACTCTCCACCTTGTCCCAGTTTAGGATATTATTATGCCTAAAATTGCACCATAATAATGTGAATTCTATACACACTTACTGGAGAGGAATGCCCATTAAAATTAATTAGTTTTACCTTTAAACAGACCTATATAGAGGTGTGTTGTAAGAGCTTTTCTTCAAGAAAATAATTATTGTTTCTGCTTCTGTTTTCATCACAGAATTGAGATTCAATCTCTTTTTTTCCCCAGCTTTTCACATACATAACATTTAGGCGGTGCTGTGCTTTACTGTAATATTGCAATGATTTAAGCAGGAATATACCTTTTCTTTGGCTTTCAGAAATAACATTCCATTTTCCTTACTCTAAAAAAACCTGAGGAAGATCTTTTAAAAATAGACAAGAAATGGGTGATTGCAATGATGCCTAAAGGACCCATAGACAAATGTGAGTAAGAAATCAGGAGTGGATGTGAATGCCTCAAATAGAAAAGCTCTGTGTCTGAATGATCAACATTTGTAGAAATTTTATTTATTTCAATTTGTATGCCATTACAATAGTCCATATCTGTGCAGCTCACAACAATTTAACAGAATGCTCTGTGAAAGATCCAGGTATTACTCATGTGTTCTTTTTCATGTTTGTATTCAAAACTTGCAGTTTGAATAATATTAAATAATAGTAAACTTTTTTGTCAGATGATAAGTGATCACAAGTGTAATCCAAAGTAAGGCCTCCATCATTCCAACAAGCAGAGCTTTATTGGGACATAAGTCTAGCGTTAAAATGAATGTGACAAATTTGTAATAATTTACAATCAGATTTGTAATAACAATCTTTAAATGTCCCAAAACTTCTTCAGAAAATGTGACACAACCAAAGCCAAACTTTAGAATGAACTCTTGTTCAGAGTTAATGCTATTCTTGTATTCCTGTGAAATGTATTTATTATATGTGCCCTGAACTAGTTGCAAAACATCCAGTCTCTATACTTTGGAATGTTGGTTCCTTATAAAAAGCAAGGAATTTAAGGACACTGTTTCTGCTTAGTAATGTAAACTTGTCTCTGAAAGAAAGTTGTTTATTGTGATGATCTATATTTCACTTTCATTGCAGACAATGTTAAGGAGCAGGTGATAAAATTACCCAGTTATTCATGGAATGTTTTGCATTATCTCTTCCTAGAAATAGATTAGAAGCATTTGTATTCAGTATCACTATCAGACATAAATAACTATTTGTAAGCACAGTAATCAAGGTCACTTTTTCAACATGAGTCACATTTAATGAACAGGATATTTGAATAGTCATATATTCCCACCAGTTTACAAAGTAGAATCCAAAAGAGTATATTACAGTCACATAGACAGATTTGCTTTCTGCAACCTAGAAAGTCAAGCCAATGTAACATTCGACATTTTGGTACCAAGGGCTGGAATACAGAAACAATGTTGTTTGTTAGAACATGGGACCAAGCCTTCTCTAAAGCAACACTTTAGTTGCAGAATTAAATTCTAAAGTAGTAACTTCAACCTTGGTTGCCTTTAAGCAGGCAGCAAAAACATTTTTATTCTGCCTTCTTTTAGTGGTTTTTAATTTGAAAATTAAAAGTTTTAACTCAGGTTGGTTTTTATATGCTGTTTTAATTTTGTTATTGTTGTAGTTTGGGTGGTATTCTGTTTTTCGTGTGGCTGTGGAGCCAAAAATATAGCAATATCTATCATAAATAAATAAGGAAGGCACATCATTTCACTTTACATGTGAAAGCAATTTCTGCCTGTACCGTACATTGAATCACATCTGCATGTGTTCATGGATTAATTTTTCTTTTTATTTTCAGGACTAGAATCAGTGCAGGAAGTGGAAAACCAGCAAAGAAAAAACGGGAGTATGCATGGGGGAAGTGTATGTGATGTACATTCTGTGGTATGTCACCCTCTGGTTCAAATGATATTACAGTGACATGTTCACAGCCTGTGACAACCCATTACAGCTCCATTTGCTCATGTGGGCTGCTTTGTGTCAGGTCTCCCAAGGCTTGTCGTGTCGTATGAACCCGGGTGGCAAGGTTGTTTGAGGGTTAGTAACCTTCAAATAACTCATGGATGGTGTTCGGATTATTCAACAGTTTTCTAACTCTCAGCTACTTGGGTTCACATGCCACAACATGCCACAGTGCAGGCACTATACAATAATGGTACCTGTGGGGTACCCACCATTACACAACAACCCCTGTGTACCTGTAATGGCAGGTACCTTTAAGCCATGGTGGTTTGTTACACTGTGTGAACCCAGTCAATGTCCCTGCTCCATGGATTTTACAAACAAGGGCAGAATCCAGTGGAGTTTCCCATAATCATCTGAGCTTAGAGGATTGCAGGCATCCTGTTCTTCTGTGAAAGAAGCACAGAAGTGAAGGTAACCTCCATGCTCCTACTGCTTTGCGAAGTATCGAGACAGCCGATTTCAGCTTACGGACTGTGGTGCTTTGCAAGGAGAAGGGAAACTGAGATGCCACCAGGAGAAGTTGTATTCTGGTGACCACCGTCTCTTCCCCACCCCTGACAACACCTGCTCAACCCTTCGTCCAATGTTACTGTTATGACCTTGGAAAAGCAGCCAAGATGGTTCTTTCCACACCAGCTGTTTTCTGACCTCAAATTTGGGAATCAGAAAAATCCTATGCCCTCTAGACACTATCTAGAGGCCATGGGATTGTTCTGTAAGACAAGGGATGCAATTAAGCAAATTCAGTTGCTCATACTGACACTACATATAGCTACTCAAACATCTCATTGAGTTCAGTGGGGCTTTCTTGTGGGAT